GACAGTGATGAACAGCATTATCCCATGCTCACTGTTCATCAAAGACTCTATCTTGTTCAACTTAAGTCTGGAAATTAAGTAAGATGCACTATCTCTCTACCTTGGTGCCAAAACCGGTTCCCTGGCTCCTATAACATAGACAAAATAATGCATTAATAAGCGGTGATCTATTTAATTCCTCCAGACACTTTGATCAATCAGCTAATCAAAACAATTCAACAACCTTGTTTCTTATAGTCAATTACTGCCAATTGACCTTTGTCTATGTGGGATACTATTATTCCCACTGAAACCTGGGAACTCAGTTCAGTGGCAGTATCGCTTACTATCAATTGACCTTCAGAAGATGGCCATCACAGAAGACACTGTGAACCTCTCATTAACTCATTTCTAGGTGCCTCAGCATGGGGAGTTATGTCTGAACTCTCCGAGAGGCTACACCATTGGGGTTGAGGTGGGTAGGTAGACCACAAATTACATATCCACTCCAATATTTCAATTCCTCTAAGCCTTTGGATCTTACCCTCTGCATTATCCCCAGACAATTCTGGCACTTAGCCTGACTGAATACTGGTTCCAATTGGTTCACTTCAATCAGCAGAGAAAATTTCTAGCTTTAAGATTCTCCCATATCAGTCCATTTTGTCTAGTCCATTGTTTTATATCTATCATCTCTGGTCTGATGACCTTAAACTCAATGTTACTGGAGTGTCTGTCACTAAAAATGAGCAAGATTCTGTAATTACTGTGGAGTATAAACTCCTTCCTTCTCTGCCAGACTTTGTACTTGGTCCCTCAGAACAAACCCAGACCTGCATCTAGATATAGTTCCAGGGATGATGAGAAGCAGCTGGGGTCTTCATGTCAGTCCCTTCAGTCCCGAGAGCTCAGCTTTTCCTGAGTCCCAGTGGAAGCTCCCCATACCATGGTTCAAAGTCTTTCTTGTAACTAATCACATTTACATGTGAGGCTTATTAGCACACGGATGCTATTTAGATTGTAATTCTGCAAGCCACAAAATTGTATACTGAGTCCAGGTCTGCTCAAAATTCTGATAAGCGAGTGAAGCACTTGAAGTTACCACAGAAGCTCTGGCTCTTCACTGGAGCTGAGAGTAAGTGACCCAGTCCTGCCATTTCTGTAGGCTCTCTGGTTCATTCAGAAGCATCACTGCTACTTGTTTCTGGTCCCCAGTGGGCTTCAGAAAGTTCTTCATTCCAGCCAATCTCGTGTGATTAAGCATGGCTACACAGCATAGCACAGACTTATCACATCCTATTGCCTTAATTAAAAAGATGGTTATTGTGTTCAAAATGTATGATATAATCATATCAACCGGTGAATCCCATATTGAGGGGTTATTACCTGGGACCACCTCTGGTTCCAAATAGCTCATCAGTTAGGACCCTTGAGTAAAAAGGGGTGAATGTCACACACTTTACCTTCAAGAATTGAACATCTGTAGGTTAACTGGACATTTGAGAGCTGGAATGCTAAACTACAACAGTGCATTAGCAAAGTAACTTTCAGTTAACCATTCTAGGAGCTGGCGAAACAAGAAAGACCAGGGACTTGGGCTATCGAAGGTAGGTTTTTAGAGGAAGATACCTGCAGAATTGGGGCACAGGTCACTGAGAAGGCACTGCTGGCCCTACTGGGGGTGCTTCTAGGATCTGTTACAAAAGTCAGAGACCAACTGCCACTACCTGGGCTGAAGAGGGAGGGCACCGTCTCTCCTCTTGTGGTGGTCCTCCCTCTAGTGGCCCACAGTGGTTTAACAGCGACCTGGCAGAAGCATGAATCACCAAGTCCCAAGTGTGGGATCAGAGCTGAAAGGCCAATGAATGAGTCATAAAGTATGTGCCTCTGAATTATACTGGCTCATGTTTACATCTCCTCTCTCTCCCGCCCCCTTTCACCCTCACACTCTGTCTTTGGTGTATTTTAGCACAAAACATTATTTTTCTCAACACAACGATTTCTATGTTAAAATAAAAAATACAAAGTCAGAGGAAAAAAGTCTGCCCTACTGATGAAAACTGATCACTGTTAATACCTTTTTAGAATTTTTTCAGAGCATTCCATCATGTATAATTTCAACAGATCAGCTTTCTAATCTGCTTTTTAAAATGCCTGAGGAGACTGGAGAGATGGCTCAATGGGCAGGAAGACTTGCTGCTCTGCAGAGGGACTGGGTTCAGTTTCCAGCACCCACATGGTGGCTCACGACCATCTGTAACTCCAGTTCCAGAGGATCTGACAGCCTCTTCTGACATTCATGGGCATCAGGAATCATATATATATATATATATATCTCTATATATATCTATATATATCTATATATAGATATATACAGATATATACACACACACACACAAAACCAGGCAAAACACTCATAGACAGTGGATAGAATAAAAAAAACAAAAAGCCACACCTTAATGTAGCATAAAAATTGCTCACATCAGTCTATGTTTATTTACGCCAGAGGATTTCAAACCATTCCTAAGTATGGGCTTGTGAACAACCCACAGGAGTGAGAGTAGAAGGCCGTATTAATGGGAGGGCCTATCATCACCCTTAGCCACTACAATTCTGTTTTACATATTTGCTTTACACATTTGACACCAATGTTAAGATTTTTTTGGGGGGTAGGGAAGAAAATTATACTGTCGGAACTATTAGAAAACAACAGATTTCTTGTGAGGATATAGTGTTAACAGTATTTCCTATTTTCTGTTTTAAATTTGGGGCAGGGTCTTGCTATGCAGGCCAGTTTTTAACTCAAGGAGAGCCACCAGTCCCAGTCTCCTGAATGCTAGGATTACACGTGCTCAACCAAGCACATTTCAGTGTGCACTTCTTGGGTTACTGAGGTGTGTAAGGTTTTACATATTTGCTGACTGACCTGTGTCTGTTAGTCTTTCTCTGGAGTCTAAAATTTTTCCAAGCATGACTTGAAAACCTGCACTGGGATTCTTCCACACGCCTAGTTCCTAGAAGCTCTGCTTTCAATGTGCATTGCTCATAAAACACCATCTCCTTGTCTCCACTCCTCATTACGACCTCAGAAATTCCTTCATGAGAACAGACCTCTCATTCTTAGGCTCCCTCATGTCTTCCTACCCCTGCCTCATAAACATGCCCATATCTATAGCTACCTTAACTTTTCTTTCGGGCTCAGATAGTAAGGCTTTTTAACCTTCAAGTGGACTCTTTCACTTAGGTCCTTGACTCCATCTCTCCTTGTCTCCTCTAAACAGGGGAAGATATTGCAAGATGCTATGGTACTGACTTTGAACATGGAAGAGGTAGGTGGGCATGAGCCAGAGAACGAGGCAACCACTAAAAGTTGGAAAAAACGTGCCGGGCGGTGGTGGCGCACGCCTTTAATCCTAGCACTCGGGAGGCAGAGCCAGGCGGATCTCTGTGAGTTCGAGGCCAGCCTGGTCTCCAAAGCGAGTTCCAGGAAAGGCGCAAAGCTACACAGAGAAACCCTGTCTCAAAAAACCAAAAAAAAAAAAAAAAAAAAAAAAAAAAGTTGGAAAAAACAAGGAAACACATTCTTTAGAGTCTTCAGAAGGAAACAGCACTTTAAACAGCCAACTTTATTTCAGTAAGACTGAAGAGAGGCTGGGGAGATGTCTCAGTGGGTAAAGAGCTTGATGTGCAAACATAAGAACCTCAGTTCAGAGGTTCCTCATTACCCTAGGAAAAGCTGGGCATGGTGGTTCATACCTGTAGCTGGTGCTGATGGGGATGGAGGGATGCTTCTGGGGGCTGGCAGCCAAATATTGAGTTCCAGGATCAGTGGGAGAACCTGACTCAAAAACAAAGGTGGACAGCTATAGAGGAAGACCTAACCCAGTCGTTCTCAGCCTTCCTAATGCTTCAATCCTTTAATACAGTTCCTCGTGTTGTGGTGACCCCAACCACGAAATTATGTTCATTGCTACTTCATAACTGCAATTTTGCTGTTAGCCTCCACATAGGCACGTGCACACGTGCATGCACCATACAACCCCGATTAAAAAAAGAACATTTCCTATCTTCCATAAATCCAGTAGCTTTGTGTTGCTTCAATCTGTTAAATCTGTGGCAATTTGTTAAGAGTCAAAATAGGCCATCAAAAGGGCACGATGGCAGTGCATTAAATGGGCATCTAAGTAGTTACAGAGTGAGGCTAGGCGTTTAGGAAGAATTATCAAAGATAATGGTCCCAGAGCTGACTGAGGAAGTGAGGCTGTTTCAGGGAGATGGTCCAGATGGAAGAGCAATTATCTGCAAGGTACACAGAGGACAGAAATGTTTCAGTAGGGCAAGATTACTAGCATTATATACAAGTCTGGTAAGAGCAAATATTTGTATAGTAGGTACACTTCTAATGTATTCCATAACCTATGAAGGCCTTTATTTTACTCATAAGCATACTGAAGTCTGGAGAAGTAGCTTTTTGGGATCACAGAGCTAGCAAAGACAGAATGAATGCTAACAGTCTCTAACGCTCACTAACTGCTCCTCTCCACATTGTGAAAGGAACCCTAAGCACATAAGACGATATCAACGGCCGAGAATAAACAACCATCAGGATATCATCGTGATGAGAACCAGCAGAGCTTGGAATATTTTGTCCGAGACAACGACGGTGGTAATCCAGACAACCTCTGGGTCTCTCTGTTATTATCAAAGTGGGGTTGACAGCCAAGGTATGTCAGTCTTCCTTGACTACTCAAAATAAATCGTTACGAACTCCACATTTAATACAATCCGAGTTTTTTTTTCAAAATACCTGAGGCGGAGTTGAAGGCTGGGCCTCACTCGGACTCATCTGTAAAAAAAACCTAGCTTCCAAATTGTTCCACACTTCTGTGTGCCTCAGAATACTCTGGAAGGAACTTAAGACTACCTGTCTCCTTTCCCGGAGGGCCTAACCGGGCGTAACTCCGCCCCCCCGGGCCGGGCCACACCCCTCGGGCCCGCCCCCCACTTCCTCCCTCCCTCCCTCCCTCTCCCGCCTAGGCCGCTCCAGCCGGCCTCGCCCAGCTCAGTGGTCCCAGGCCCTCCGGCGGCGCGCAGGATGGCCGCTGCGGTGCGGCGGGGCGCGGAGCCGTGGAACCGCGTGAGGATCCCGCAGGCGGGCAGCAGCAGCACAGTGACGGTGCAGGACCGCAGCGCCACCCTCGGTGAGCGAGGCGCGCGTGGAGCTCCGGCACGTCTCCCGGAGCCAGCGGGCCGGCTCACGTGGGATGGGGGTGGGACTTCCTGAGCGCGGGGCACGCCGGGAAGGGGCGCCCCGGGCGGAAGGTCCCCGGGCTGCAAGTGTGCGTCCGGGACTGTGAAGCCGCTGGGCTCCTGCGGGTCTTAGCTGGAACGTGAAAGCAAGGCTAGCCCCGGCGTGGCGCGTGCAAAACGCTGCCTGGGATCCTGTGCTGTCCCTCCAGGATCGGGGCTGTCCCCCAAGTACCCTGCTTTTCTCTTAAAATGGAGCTCATTTTTCCCTTACCGGGCGAGGGAGTACTCGGGTCCCTCGGTTCTTCTCGATGGAAACAATTTCAGTTCCGAGACAGTTTTAGCAGTTTATTTAGAAAACAAGAACTCCCAAGGAGATGTCGGGGGTCGGGGGAGGGTGGCAGCTCAGTGGGGTCTGTGTTGTGAGTTATAATTAATATATATGATGTGGAAGGGTGCGTATTCATGGAATCAGGTGATTGTATCTACCCTGTCCCAAGTCATGGGCTGGATCTCTTCTAGGACTTTATTCACAGGACTCTTTTAGAAAATTCTATTGGGTGGGCGGGGCGAAAAGGTAGTTTCCTGCTTATCGATCCCCGGGATTCATGTGGGAGAAGGCGAGAACAAACTTCCGCAATTAGTACGTTCTCTAGACTCAGTGCTGTGTGTGGTACTCCCTCACACTCAATAAAGAAATGTAATAAAATATCAAAACATAATGCAAATACTGTAATGAGGTGAGGGGGTCTTTTGAAGTGTGAGGTGATACCTGAGTGCTTACCTGCAGCCTGAAGGAATTTAACCACAAATGGACGTTCAGACCAGGAGACCTAGCTACCAAGATAAGCTGTAATTTTCTTGGTTACCTCATATCTCTTTTTTTTTTTTTAAAGCTGCCAACGGTCCTGTGACTGTCAGCTAAGAAATTTTGTTATTTCTAAAACTGGGGTTTTAGCCCACTCTAAAATGGAAATTAAAAATAGTACCAGTTCCTTGAGGTTGTACTGGGGAATGAAAGAGTTGATACCATGAAGCATTTGTAACCCTGTCTGGTATGGCAGTCGAATGATAGCAGCTGTCGTTAATATTAAATAGACACATTTGCTCATAATTGTTAAGTACAACCTATCACGTCATCTCACCTCTCTTCCCTTCTATCTTTCCTATGCTGTTTAAAACTCTAATTCCTCTCTAGTCACATTAAAAACAAAACAAAACAACCAAACAAAAAAACAATGCTATGGAAAATTCACCAACTCGTAGCTAATTTAAATTCTCCAGATAGGGCCGGGTGGTGGTGGTGCACGCCTTTAATCCCAGCACTCGGGAGGCAGAGGCAGGCATATCTCTGTGAGTTCGAGGCCAGCCTGGGCTACAGAGTGAGTTCCAGGAAAGGCGCAAAGCTATACAGAGAAACCCTGTCTCGAAAAACAAAACAAAACAAAACAAAATCCAGATAGTTGGGAGGGACAGAGAACATTCTTCCACTTAGAATGTTTGTGTTTCCTTTTTGAGCCACCAGGTGGCACATTATACCTGCTTCACAGCTGCTCATGTTAAGATTAAGAAACCGGTATTACTCTTTCAGTTACGTAATACAACTTCCAGTGGCCCTGGTGGTTTCTCTTTTCTGAATGTAGATTCCCACTGATATTCATGGGGGATTGGTTCCAGGAATCCTTTTATTTAAAATTGGGCACATGCTGAAGTCTCTGACATGGTCGATAGTACTTTCAGTATGATCTACTCATATCTTTCTGTATGCATTCACTCTATCTATAGGTTGCTTATGATATTGTATACAGTGTGACTGCTACTGAAATATGTTACAGATGGAATGTGGGGGACTATATTCAGTGTGAGGTTGGTTGAATGCACAGAGGGCACTCATGGGTAGATGGCTAAGTGTATTATATATTCTTATCAGAAAGTGGTATCCAAATACAGTTCCTTTGACTTTGAAGGTTGTGACTCCATCCATTCTGTCTTGCTTACCTGCAGAGCAAAGTGAGGGTTTTAGAGACATGCAGCATGTGCCCGGCTTTTGTGTATTTGGGGTATAAGTGATGTAAGTAAGTGATCACCACCAAATGATGACTATAGAGTAGTCATAGCACTCAACAGTCATGGCAAAAAGTGATGTAAAGACATATACACACATTCATGTTTAACAGATGTTCTCTTGTTGATCACCTGACACCATTTTCCAATTTCTTACATACTTGGAATCCTTTATTACATTTTTTTATAGTTGAGGCTAATTTGTGTTTTGATTTCTTTAAGGCAGATACAGCGGAATGTTTCTTTCAGCATTTGATGCAGTAAATGTAGAAATGCATACCGAGTCTTGTTTGAACTGTTTCTGCTTTAGACATTTGCATTGCAGCTGTCGTGAAAGGGTGCCATCTTGTCACACGGTCACTCAGGAGCCGGACCTTAGATGCGGAAGTTGACGTGTTATGCTCCGTCCTCTACAGCAATCAAAACAGATTGGGCCACCACAAGCCCCATTTGGCTCTCCGACAGGTAAGGGGAAGCTCTGTGCTCTACACGTAGCCCAGTACTGATGAACATGAGGATCACAACTGCCACTTATATTTTGTTACTTATGGAAAGTTCATAAATTATTTTGATTCATAAATTTATAAGACACAATTACATGTTGGATATTTTGGCCTTTTATTTTCTCAAGATATTTTCAAAAGGTAATTTATGATCAGGAAGCATATTTCAAAGCTGGTGTGTGCCTTTAATCCTAGCACTTGGGAGATAGAGTCAGGTGGATCCCTGTTAGTTTGAGGCCTTCCTGGTCTATGTAGTGAGTTCCAGGAGAACCAGGGCTATGTAGAAACACCCTGTCTAAAAACAAAACAAAACAAACAAAAAAACAAAACAAAACAAAACCCCAAAAAGAAGTATGTTTTGATTCTTTCCAATTTTTCAGTAGGCACAGTCTTTAACAGTGCCTTTGCCTAGTTCAAGAGTAAACTAATTTGAGCCCTAAAATCTTAAAAAAGAAAAGTTGTGGTTTAGTGCTGTGGTTTATGTCTTGTGGGACCATAATCTAGTCAGCAGTCTGCTGGTGTGAGTGAGTTTATGGTAAGTTGTGGTGTAAAGTGGTTTCATGCAAGTTTTGGAAATAAAGTATTGTGACCTTCAACTCCAGGACTCCATGGCCGAGAGCTGCTGGAGCTGGGTTCTGTATGTGCCTTCTACATACTCTCTTTGCTAATTCTGCAAGTCCCCTTTCAAAGCTCAGTGTGCTGCCCATGTGTGTCAGAGCCATCTTTCCAGTATTTATTTATTTTTTCACAAAGTTCTCTGTTGACACTGTGCTTGCTGTTGGATCTGCAGCAATAACAAAGACATAGTCTCTCACTGCGCACTCTTTCTGGCTAGCTATACTCACTCCCATTGCTTAAGGCCCGAGGGATGAGGATGCTCTCAAAGAGGATCATGGTCTTTTCCTACATTGTCTTTTTGGGGCGGCTTTTACCCAGGTCTTCTAACCCAAGAGCAAACTTGTGTACTAACTTCTCTGCTGAAGTTCTTAACTGTTTTTACCTTTCTCTTCCTCCCTTACCCCAAACCATATTTCACTCACTGTACTTTCCAAGCGCATTGCCATCTTGGACTGTCAATACCTGTCTTCAAAGATGGTATCCAGACTTAGAAATTAAAAGAGATAGGAGCCAGCCCCAGAGAATTGAAGGATTTGAACTATGCTGAAGTAGATTTGGTTTTTAGTAGTGTATAAGTAGCTCTGGTAAGATATGCCACTTACCAATACCAGTTCCCATCAGGAACTTTACATCCTTCAAAGTGCAGAGAGTTTATACAGCATTTTGTATGCTACATGGCTTGTTTTTCCCTGAGAGCCTACTAACCCCTGTTCTAAGAACTGGATTACATGGGTGAGCAGACTGGACAAGGTATATAGTCCGCGGGGAGCTTACAGTATAGTTTGGAGAACAGGGCAGTCTGGCAGCCAGTCAATGACTGGCTGTGCCAGCCGGTAAGAAGCGCTACAGGGAAAAGCAGAGGGGGAGATTGCGATTTTCAATAAAGCATACCTGTTTTTGCATTAAGTTAGTACTTTCTATGTTATCTGTCCTCATTACTCGAAATTGGGATGTATTGTATACCATGTTATCTCCCAACATGCCTTGCGTGTGGTTAAGGAGTTCAGTATAGATTTCTTCTGTGACTAAGTCACTTTCCTCGTTTCTGGTGTTTACAGACTGTTGAAACTGAGTGAAGAAGTTGCTATCTTGTTTTACTAGATTCACTACTGTAAATATGTTCCCTCAACAAATTATAATATTGAGACATATTTATAAGCATGCTTGAATACTTGGCACATAGGAATTTTTTGAATTGAGAAAGTTGTTGGTGGCACACGCCTTTAATCCCAGTACTCAGGAGGCAGAGGCAGGCGGATCTCTGTGAGTTCAAGGCCAGCCTGGTCTCCAAAGTGAGTTCTAGGAAAGGCGCAAAGCTACACAGAGAAACCCTGTCTCAAAAAAAAAAAAAATCTATATTCGTGAGCAGAAGCCATTGCTTTGGGATTTGGGTTTCCTTGTCCTTAAATGAGAAGGTCTTCTGTGATATATTCCCACCTGGGAAGTTTGCTTTCTTTGAGTTCTTGGTCATATCTGCGACACTGTTGTATTACACACAGTCTAATCTAAGCCGATCTTCCTCCTTCAGGTAGAACAGTGCTTAAAGCGTTTGAAAAACATGAATTTGGAGGGCTCAATTGAAGACTTGTCACAGTTGTTGTCTGCCAAGTAAGTGGCCCATTGCTTTGTCAGGATGCCTTTGGTAGTCTCTGCTTGGTGTTGAGATATCATCAGCTAGGCCAAGACACATACATTGTGTTTTACTGAGGGGCACCGGTTGACTGATGGGAGAGGCTGGTGGGACTCTGAAATGTGGCTCACAGTAGGTTACAGTGAAAGAACCGTGGGTTGCTAGTGGGCATGACCACCTCAGGCTGAGCCTAAAGCAAGTCCTCACTTGCATACTACTCTAGAAATGTTGTGCTTAAAAACGAAAGTCGTGTCTTTTTCTGTTTATGTTAAGTGAAACTCAGCCTGGAGTTACCGAAAGCCATGCTGTCCCCAGCCAGCCGGTGGTGGAGGTGGTGCTGATGAAGGTTTTGGGAGGCTGCAAGTTGTTACTGCGCTTGTTGGACTGCTGCTGCAAGGCATTCCGGTATCCTTGACTACGGGAACACCTTCTTTGGAATGGGGCTGTTTGGGTATATTTAGCTTCTGTTCGAAAGCTGTGCTGTAAGGTGGTGTAACCTATGGGAATTCTGAAAGCTTTGCCTTTTGTCTTGGGGCTTTAATACCTTCAAAGTCTTCTGTACTTCCAACTTATTTCTTTCATAATTTTAACTTCTAAGTCTCAAGTTCCTTTGGTTTTGTTTTGCCAACTTAAACTGATTCTTCAGGTTGACCGTGAAGCACTTGGTACTGCAGGAATTCATTATTTTGAACCTGGTGATGATTGGGCTGGTGAGCAGGTTATGGTATGTTTACGTTTCTACTTTTGTGTTTCATCTCTTATTAGTGTTCCCACAGTTTCGTTTCACACTGTTGGCCATGGGAGCTGAAGGTGTGGGTTTCCCTGTCTTCCCAGGACAGTTTATCTGCAGATTGTAAGCTGAGTGCTGGTGGTTATGCCAGAGGAGTGGGCTTTGCTTCTGTAACCACACGATCAGTGAATTCCTAGGACCTAGGAACTGTAGTAATAGTAACAGTAGTAATAATACTAATAATGGTAATAGTAATAATAATAATGATGGCTATAGTAATATTGCGGTAGGCTTTTGAAAAAGCTGTTGTTCCTGTGGTGGTCATATCTTGATCCTTTCTGACAACTGGTTTCTAATTTTAATAGCAATTAGAAATATAATCCCAGCATTTGGGAGCAGAGCCAGGCAGATCTCTGTGAGTTCAAGGCCAGCCTGGGCTACCAAGTGAGTTCTAGGAAAGGCACAAAGCTACACAGAGAAACCCTGTCTCGAAAAACCAAAAAAAAAAAAAAAGAAATACAATTTGACCTTCCTTGTATGCTCTGGACTTTTCTTTTGCCTAACACACAGCTGCTTTTGAAACCTATTTGGATGATGTAAATAACATTAGTAATACTAAATAGTAATACCCACTAAAAAAAGTCATTTTCCTTTTTTAAGATTTATTTATTTTATGTGTATGTGTGCTCTATCTGCATGTATGCCATTATGCCACAAGAGGGCATCAGATTCCCACTATAGATATTTGTGAGCCATCATGTGGTTGCTGGGAATTGAACTCAGGATCTCTGGAAGAGCAGCCAGTGCTCTTAACTGCTGTCCTGTCTCTCCAGCTCCCTCCCCCCAAAGGCATTTTCTTGTGTGTTTATGCAGCATAAAAAGGTTTGCTGGATAACGACACAGAGTTGGATCATTAGCTCTTATTTGAATGTAGCAAAACTATCAAAACAACACAAATCCAGAAGATTCTTTCTACCTTCAAACATAAACCTTGCTTTGATGTCGTAACCCAGATATCTCATTTGTATTTTAATCATCTTTTTATTCTGCTTATTCTTAATCAGAAATAACAGCATTTGAATTACTAATATTACTTTGTTAATAAAAAAATTAAGAGAGGCTCTTACTGTGTAGCCCAGGCTGACTGAATTCATGTTCTCTTACCTTAGCCTCCAAGTATTGTAGGTGTATACCACCAAGCTAGGCTTGCTAATCATATTGTTTTAAAATGTTTAACTTTTGCTATTTTCTGAAATGAAACAAGATTTACATTTTACTGATTAAAACAATGGTTTATACTTAGAAATCCAAAAACACAAAAACGTGAAGAACTTGAAATGCACCTGAAATCTCATCTCCATAAAATACCCGTAGGGTTTTTATGTACACATCTTTGACACACGTCTCTAGGAAGTTCTCTTTGTGTAGCGTCAAATACTTGGAGTTTTGTGTTTGGGGTGGATTAACCTGGCAGTTTGCAAATACACACCATAGGCGCTTTGTTTGGTTTTGTTCAATGTATAGTGGCAGAGCTTGTAGCTGTGTATTTTCAGTTTGGAATCTTGTGTTTCTTGAATATCTGCAGACGATATTACTAGCTAATTCCTGAGCTTCTGTTTCTTTCCAGGGTTCTCCATAAGGGACTTTTAAGGAGGCTGATTTCCTTATATGAGCCACTGTTTGGATTGCTTCAGGAGGTCTCCAGGATTCAGCCCATGCCTTACTTCAAAGACTTTGCCTTTCCCTCTGATATTACCGACTTTCTGGGGCCACCTTACACTGAACTCTTTAAGGGAAAAACGCAGGCACCTGTTGCCACTAAAGGAGTAACTAAGTTGCTAAATAAACTGTTTTTAATGAAAGAACAACTACCAAAGATCAATGAAGACACTTTAGATAGAATTTCCAAAACATCTGAACAAATAAAGAGCAATCTACAGGGAAGTGTGGACCTGGGACAGCCAGTGAAAAAAAAGACCAAGAACGGTGAGTTGCTTGGATAAGCACAAACTCGTCCTCATTTCATTTAAAATTTTACTTATTTGTTTTTATTCTTTTCTTTTTAAAATACGTACTTTTAAAACAAACCTTTGAAAGCACGATACAGTCATGCATTGCGTAGAAAGAAGTTCAGAATCTCACTGAAGTCACTGATTATATTTAGGGAGGTATGAATGTCACCCCTTTTCAAGGCTTCGCTTCTAGTTCCTTCCTGGGTCTTTGCTTTATTTTCTTGGTTTCTTTGCAGTAACTAGGCAGGAAATGTCACAAAGTTAAGAATTTGTTGGCGGTTTGAAAGTCCTATGGCTGAGTTTTTCTTTTCCTTTTTTTAATTCCACAGAAAAGCCATCGGGATTTGACGTGCGGGCTTTGTGCACAAGGCTGCGAAACAAGGCTGCTCAGGTCTGTCTGGTTTAACTAACACAGCTCTTCATTTCTATACGTTTAGAGGAAGCTCCTCACTACGGACGGCAGGACTTCCCTCTAATAAGCTTGGCTGAGTTCTTAGTTCTCAGTGTGTTCTTTTGAATGAACAGGACAGGATTTTTTAATATCCTGGTTACTCCAGTTCATAGGATGTGTTCAGAAGGGCTTCAATAGGCATTTTAAATTTCAATAGGAATTTTAAAGTAACCATATGGCATGGCCCATCTGAAGTACGGATGGTGAGCAGTTTAAGAGCATGGACTTTGTAGTTGCTGGAACCTTGGCCCCACCCAGCTGTGTGATCCCTAAGTTCTCTGACCTTGGTATACCTCCCTTCTCTCCACGCTCCTAACTTTGGGCTAGCTTCAGTACATGTGAAGTGTTCGATGGACTCTTGAGCATGGTCAAGCATTTAGCTGATGGCAGATGTTGTTAGTAACAGTCATTTTGTCTTCCTCCTCCTTTGTCCTGAGGTGCCAGCCATTCTTTTGGGGTTCAAGCTTTAACTTGGTACCTTTTAATAATGTTGGAAAATTGTTCTGGACTTCCTGACTGATAAGTATGTCAGTGTCAGCCTTTACCCGGTAACTCCTTGACTTTTATTACCCTTTGTCTGGTTTCCTTTTGGGGTTATTTCCCCCATTTTATTTAAGAACTCTTAATCATTTCGAAGAACCTGTAGTGCGAATCCTAATTGGTCTTAATAATAAAAATCCAGAGCCAGATTTCAGGGTAAATGCTGAAAGATCAGAGAGACAAAGGAGCAACTCCTCAGCCTGAAAGGGGCCAAGCTCCTGTCTCCTCCCGCCTTATATTCCTCTCTCCACCCAGCATATCAGTTCCTGTTTCCTCCTCCCTAGTGCTGGGATTAAAGGCATGAGATCTCAAGTGCTGGGATTAAAAGTGTGTACCATCACTGCCTGGACTCTATGGTTAACTAGTGGCTAGCTCCATACTCTGATCTCCGGGCAAGCTTTGTTTGTTAGAGCACAAACAAAATATCACACAAGAACCCTTTTTTTTTTTTTAAAAGATTTATTTATTTATTTATTTTATGTATATGAGTGCTCTGTCTGCATGTATAACTTTATTACAGAAGAGGGCATCAGATCCCATTATAGATGGTAGTGAGCCACCATGTGGTTGCTGGGAATTGAACTCAGGACCTCTAGAAGAGCAGCCAGTGCTCTTAACTGCTGAGCCATCTCTCCAGCCCTGAACCCATAGTTCTTTTTTGAACTTTTCAACACAGATGGCAGCTTGCATTTTGATCTTGCCTAATTGATGAGTTCAGAAGGAGGAAACATAATAGCAGGTCCTTTGAGCACCTGACACTATCTTAAATGCTTTATGTGTATTAACTCCCATCATCCTTAGAAAAGCCCTGTGAGGTAGATGCTTGCATTACTGCTTTCCTATTTCCTTTTTTTAAAATGTATTTATTATGTATATAGTGTTCTGCCTGCATGTCAGAAGAAGGCACAAGATCAAATTATAGATGGTTGTGAGCCACCATATGGTTGCTGGGAATTGAACTCTGGACCTCTGAAAGAGCAGCCAGTGCTCTTAACCTCTGAACCATCTCTCTAGCCCCCAGCTTTTATATTTCAACAGAGGAAAATGAGGCATAGAAAGTCTCAAGAGTTCTTTAGGCCATATAGTTAAGTGACAGGGATCAGGTTTGAATACAGGCCCCGTGATTCCTTATTACAGCTATCCTGGGGAGAATCTTTGAATTCTGGTCTCAAGAACTGTGGTGTCTGTGGGCCTTTCCACCTCTGCAGCCTGAGAGCCAGTTTACAGGGCAGCTGGGCTTGATATGGTTGATTAACATCCTCCTTATTCAAGACTAATTGCTCCCATATTGTAATTGGCATTCATAGGCTCAGCTTGTTTTTAGAGCAAGTTATTGATCACAAAACAATACTAGAGGGTCTTTAATTTCATAATTATTTCTTTAGGTTCCTGTTGAATGTGGGAATTTATTTACTTATTTATTTGACAGAATCTCACTATGCAGCCCTGACTGGCCTGGAACTCACATGTAGACCAGCAGGTTGACCTCATAGAGACCCTTCTGTCTCTGCTCTTTGAGTACTGGAATTAAAAGTGTGTGCCACCACAAATTTGGAAAGCAAGCAAACTTTGAATGGAAGATAGGTAGACTTGGTAGGTGGTATAGTTTTCATAAAGTAGAAAAAGCTAGTAAAATCCAAAGTTGACTTGCTATAAAGAGACTGAATAAAGATGCTTTGGTAAGAGTGGTGCAAGCCTGGGAGGGTTGCACACTTGATCATTTCATCTTGTTTACCAACTGACAGGCCTGTCATGCTGGGCGCTTTCCAGGGCTCCCCATCTTTATGTTTTCTGTAACATTTATGACCCATCTTGAGGACTGTTCCTGGGGGGGATAGAAATTAGTGGTAAACAACTGTAGTTTGAGGCAGTCATGCTGGCACAGGTTTGTTATCCCGCTACTCGGGAGGCTGAGGCAGGAGGATGGCAAGTTCAAAGCCTCTCTGAACTAGAGTGAGTTTAAATCAGCCTGGGTAACTTGTTGAAGCCTGTCTCAGAATACAGGGCAATTGCCAAGTATGCACACGGTCCTAAGTTAGGTCTTCAATAAAAGAAATAAAGTCAAAAAATAAAACAACCCCCCAAATAAACAAACAAAGTAGTCCAGTGATGTCCGTGAAAGACTTGTGATTTTTTTTTCCCTTCATCATTAGGCTTTGACTGGTATCAGAGTTTTATTGTGTATATTACATATACGTGTGAGAGTATCTTGGGTTTTCTTTCTTTTCTTTTTGGTTTTTCAAGACAGGGTTTCTCTTGTATAGCCCTGGCTGTCCGGGAACTCCTTGAACTCAAAGAGATCCGCCTGCCTCTGCCTCTGCTAGGATTAAAGGTGTGCTACCATGCTGCCTGGCTTTATTTTGGGTTTTCTGTGTACATTTAATTAAAAGGCAGATAGGACCTGCCTTGGTAAAAAGTAGTGTTAAGAGACTGGATAAAAAGGACAGGTCAATGTATTAAGAGTTTCTTTACCACCTCCCCCCCCCCCAAAAAAAAAAGAAAGAAAAAGAAAGAAAAGACTAATTATTTGAATTTTTTTTTAATGAATTAGCTTTCTAAAACTCTTGTTCTTTATTTACAAGTCAGTATCATTTTCAATTTATCTTTCTCACCTTTTTATATTTCAGGAGACCAGCCTTGAGTTGAAATGCTCTCAATCCAGATTTAAGACAAGCAAACTTTCCTCTCAAAAGCTGACAAGAACTTCCCGGGCTGCTCACAATATTGTGCAGAGAATCCGGGTGACCAAGACTTTCACCCAGCTTTCTGAAGAAATCCAAATGGCAGTCGTGTGGTGCCGGAGCAAAAAGCTCAAGGCTCAGGCCACCTATCTGGGCAGCAAACTTCTTAAGAGTAACAGGCTTAGACATGTGGAAGCTCAGGGTTATAGGTAATTATGTTAGAAAAGTTCTTTCTCTTTTCGGTAAGAACGTGTACAGATGTGCATTACCTCCTTTGTTTAAAATGGGATGGCTAGCAGCCCTCAGGGTGCTAACATAGGACCTACTCAATACAGTTTCATGTGTTGCTCATGGTGTCTGGGCAGTTAGGAGGAAGAAAGTGAACGAACAGTTCACTGGACTTACTGATTTATACCTCATCATTCCAGCTGGTTCATTCAGAAAGCATTAAGATTGCCTGTGGCCTTCAAAGCATGCAACAGTCTTAGTCCTCAGGAGCTCATGTTCTAGAGGGAGGCACCCTTCTGTGGACAGCATCAACACAGCTGGGTGAGGATGTCAGAGAAGTGACTGCTTCTGCCTCTGAGGCCCACAAGGCTGCAGGAGTTAGGGTCAGGTTTGATGCTTACAGCAGCTGGATGTTCACACATTGGTGTGTTCAATTTATCATGGTTCTTACATCAAAGAACAGTTTAGAATAGTGAAGAAACAAATCATAATGGTGAATGGTTAGCAAGAGGGGTAGCAAACTCAGGTTTATTGGTTAAACTGTTAGCCTCTACTTCCCAAAATATAGTGACCATGTTGCCCTGTTGCTGTTTCATTAGTACATTTTTTTTCTGTAGTACGTTTTGTAAAACATTTAGTGTCCACAGTACTCTGGAAGGTGGCATTCTCATTCCCATTTCATACATAAAGAGATGGTTTTGCTCAGGTACTGGAACTGGACATCTAGAACTCAGCTTGGTTCCTGATTTTTTTTTTTTTTTTTTTTTTTGTTTCAATTCAGAAATGCACCCACTTTCTACACAGTGAAAAGCCACTGCTTATGGTCATGAATTGCTTATTACACAGGGTTTCCTCAAATGATGATTATTATTTTTTTTTAAGAATGAAGGGAATTGGGTAAGAGCTATGTTAGTCTTTACCAACAGCGAGTAGTTTACCAAGGCCAGAATAAGCCATAAGGTAGTGAAGCAATTGCCTAGACTCATCAGCTGAGTTCTGCTGCAGACTTGAAGGGGGTACAGTACAACTCAGACTTCGGGTTATCTCACAGCTGTCAGTTTGTCTCTGCCAGAAGCCCCCTCTTCACTTCTATTCCTTTCCTCTGTTCATTTCCTGCCACAACATGAACTTAGCTAGGAACGGATTCTGACTGCAGCACTTTCCATTTGTGATATTTTGCAATTTCCACCTGTTTACCCTGGGAACAGATTATCAGCATGAGGGAAAGGCCGCGGCTCTCAAGTGTGGAGGTGTCTCACCATTTGTGACCTTGCTGGGCAGTTATGGGAGTTACTTTGAGGGCAAAATGGAGGCACATTTGCCTGCATCCTGAATCAGGGAATAGGGCTCTGAAAAACACACTCTTAGGTTGGATCTCCCATTTCCTTACTTTGTATGTTTGAGGTTATACATACACACAGGCACAGGACTTATAACAAACTCTATTTTTTATAACTGTACTGTACTTCTGTTGGAAACTAGTGGAGAAGTTAAAAGTGCTTAAGAACTTTGTAGAATCATAGTAAGTTGAGCTTTTTCTCTTCTGTCCTTTAGTTTACCAAAGAAGCTACAGTGCATGAAAACATCTCTTTGCAACTGCCTTCTTCGAGGCTCCATTGTCAGCACTTCAAAGTGTTCTTCCAGACAAAGATCAAAGCATAAAGTTTTATCGAGACAAAGGAAACCACAGAGAAAGTTGCAGTCAACTCTTTTAAAGGAAACCCAGCAGGTCCCTGAAGGGACTCTGAAGAGCACGAGGGGCATCAGTGCTAAGTGGAGCTGCTCAGATGGGACAGTTCCGAGGACAGATGTCTGTCCTAACAGAAAGCAGGTCTTGAGAAGACTTTCAAAGCCTGTCCTAAAAATAAAGGAGACAGGGATCCACAGGAATCTCACAGCAGGCGGTGGAAATGAAACTGGTTTGCGGACAAAGAGACAAACACACACACACAGTGTACCACCAGAAGCTGCTAAAGAGGCAGATGACATTGATGATATTTTTGCTTTGATGGGAGTGTAGATGTGCGTGTGTGAAACTGAGCAGTTAACAAGCTGGTTCGGGGTTCTGCTGTTTTAAGTGGCACTGCTGAGAGCTGGAAACACTGCTTGGGCCAGGAGCTGCTTCTGTGTAACATTCCACAGGAGTACACACCAGTTCAATAAACGTTTACAGCAGCAGCTCTGTCAGTTCCTCAGTTACTATTTGGCTTTGACTGTGGAGGGTGTGAAATATGATGAAAAGTGTCACTGTCTGCCCGAGTAACACCTACCTTCTTGACTGAAGCAAGTAGGTTTCAGGTTTCTGAAAATTAGATGTTTATGATTTACTAGGGAGTTAAGATCCCAAGTTCACAAAATCTTAGGTATCTGAGGGTAAACAGAGCAAGTTTGGAGAGTAGCAAGGAAGCACCATAAAGGTGTGTGTGTGTGCATGCACACTCGTGCGTACACGTGCGTTGACATCAGAGGATGACTAGTGAGAGTTGGTTCTCTCCTTCCATCTGTAGGTCCCAGGCAGATTGTCAGGCTTAGCAGCATGTGTGTTTACTTGCTGGGCCATCTCACCTGCCCATCTCACCTGCCCAGGTTCTTCTCTTGAATACAATGTGTATGTAAGCCAGTGTATGCTGTTACTAAGATGAATTATCAAAAGATTTGCCATTACTGGAATGGTTAAAACTACTGAATCTTCATTTTATCACTGTAACTCTTAAGAGGCTATATTACAAGGCTTTTGGAGTTTTCTTCTTTCTTGTTTCTATGGAATGCAGCTAAGAAGTAGGTGAGTGTATGCAAGGAATTTCATAAATTTGTAACCTGGGGTCAATGCCATCACCTGACTTGACATACCTGTACAACTGCTCCCAGAAATGGTGGTTATGGAGAATCCGCTTGGCCCTCAGGCCAGAAAGAGGGAGCTTCTTAGGAAACAAGGAGTCTTCCCCTTGTCCTCTGTAGTGACCAGCTGTCCAGTGACAGCACAAGCCTAAAGCCTGCAAGCCTGGGCACAGCTGGACACTTGCCTCGAAGGCCTGAGGGTGGGAATGGTGGGCTGTGTATCTGGACTTTCCATACTCACTTCGCCTAGAGTACAACTGCTTTCTGCTCTCCAACACTTGACCACAAACACGAGGCTCAAAAAAGTTACAAGTCTGGAATAGTTCTGATTTTGGACTCTTGGATATGGGACACTCTACTATTAAAGTCTGCAAATAGTCATAAATTCTGTAATCTGAACTTGCAGTTCTTAGCATCTCAGATATGGGCTGAAAGGAGCATTAGGCGTTCCAGTCATTTTTAAGTGCAAATCCTCTGACACTACTGTGTCAACCAGTGTTGAGTAGGGCTGCACCTTGCCTTCTGCTCTGGGGACCTGTCCCGGCTTCTCGGCTTTTTATGATATGTGGTCAGTGTATGTGGCGTATGTGTATATATGTGTGAGTGTGAACCTCTGGGCTTATACAAGCTACAGGAACTGCTTGGCACTTAGGTATGTGCACCTGGGAAGAGTATACCTGCTTCACTCTCTGGTCTCAGAAAACCCAAGGTTTCGTGTTTGGGTGGGAATGGAACCTAGTGTGTCATCTATGCTAGATCATGGCTTTACCACTCAACTACATTCTCTTGCACTACAGGTCCATGTCTTGAGGCTGCTCAAAGTCCCTCAACACAAGCACTGGTGTCCTGGTGGCTGGGCCTGCTGGGCAAGCTTTCCTTCTACTTCTGCTTCTCCACCACTTCTGTCTCTTCATCACCTCACAAGAATGCTACCATGGGAAGCTTTGATAGCGCTGCTTCTGGCAGAAGGACGCCACTGAATGTAATTCTTCTGACACCTATGTTTTGCTTTGTGAAATTTTTTTATTTAATATTTTTATTTTAAAATTAACTTAATTTCACATATCAGCCACAGATTCCCTGTCCTCCCTCCTCCTACCCCCCAGCCCTTCCCCCCAATCCACCTCCCATTCCTACCTCCTCCAAGGCAAGGTCTCCCCTGGGGAGTCAGCCCAGACTGGTAGACTCAGCCAAAGCAGGTCGAGTCTCCTCCCTACACCAAGGCTGAGCAAAGTGTCCCAGCAAAGGTCCCAGGCTTCAAAGAGCCAGCCCATGCACCAAGGACAGGTCCCAGCTCTACTGCCTGGGGGCCTCCCAAACAACTCAAGCTAATCAATCAACTGTCCCACTTATCCAGAGGGCCTGCTCCAGTTCCATGGGGGCTCCTCAGTCATTTTTAAATTTTTTTCGGCTTTAAATACTGCTAATTAGGATAAAATAGACTAACTTTATCAATTATAAAGCAACTGAAAACATTTACCATTGAGTTTTTAAAAAGTCACAAAGTTGTACAGCCTTACCGCAACTCTGACCTCTTGACAGCAGCCTCACTTTGAAACACCAAGATACTGCATGAAGAGTTGATCTTTATAAGAAGTCTGCTCCTGTGAGCTGGAGGTCAAAGCCAGTCTTCCTGGTCTAACTCTGCAGTACAGTGATTCTAAACTGTCCACCGACTGTGAATCCATTTCCTCACTTAAAACTAGGTCCTCTTACCTCTGCTACTTGTTTCAGGGTGGGAGGCTTTTTGTGAAAAAGCCTATGAGTTGTGCTGTGTCCTTTGGCTGGTATGGGCTTGCAAACGTACAGCTGTCATCCATATAACTTGTTAGCTTTCAAAGCTAAAGTGCTGATAGCCACCAACACCAACAAGGTAGCAAACACCAGATGATTTTCCCAAGGACCAAGTAATAACACACACCAGGAGGAGAACCTGAATCCTGAATCCTGGATTCTGATCATCAATCCTGTGTTCACCCAAAGGGCAGTGAACAATTAATTCCACAAGACTGGTGTTTCCATAAACTGGCAAATTTTGAGAATTTTTTTCATATTCAAATAAAGACTAGAGGAAGAATTATAAGCATACATGAGGTCCTTTACTTTTCTACTTACCTATGCATGCTTTACAGAAAGGCACCCCCACCTTACCTAGTTCACATTTACAACATTAAAAACTATAGACACTTTTTATAAGACAAAAAATTAATAATATAACAAACCTCTCCACATAGTAGTAACAGAGTCTCACTTCATGTATTTCTATATGCTCTTGGACTTGTCAGTTTGTTAAAATAGAAAAAGCAGCTAGCATCTGTCCTAATTAACATTATGATTTAATTATAACCCTCACCCCCAACAAATTCATTTTTGCTTCAGGATGATGCAGGTTTTAAAGCTTGCTGATTCTCTTGCAAGTTGAGATGCACAATATTTAAAACAATATTGGAATTCTTCGAGATGTTTAACTCCAGTTGACATGAAGAACGTTGAACCTTCATCTACCCTGGGAGCGTTTACTTAAGACTTCCTGTCACATCTGCTATAAAGCATTTCAACAGATGGACTCCAGAATAGGTCACTGCACTGGGAAAAGAGAAGAAAATGGAATGTTTCCCCTTACAACAGAGCTGAATTCATGCTATGCAAAGTTGTTTTTTCTCTAAACCAACTCTTATGGTGCCATGTTAGTGCAATGCCTTTTCGTCTGTCCTATCTCCCTTCTCTCGTCAGTTTCAGGCAGCATTCTGCACTATCTAAAACAGACCCACTCATCTGTGCTGATGATCCACAGCATCCGATCCAGGTCTTTCAGGATTCTCAACATTTTACCACACCTTCCATCTTGCTTTCTCTTCTCCAGAGTAAGTCCTGATATAGTTTGGTCTTTTTGTGATAAAAATTCAAACATCTTGAAGTATTCTGAGGTTAAAAATAATCATCACCACACACTTACTTTTATGTGTCTGTCTCCCACACACAAGTGGACAACTGTGGTCTCTCAGGCCGGAACATCCTCTGGTTTATTAAAGGTGGAATCTTCCCTGTGGTGCTGCCAGTTCTGTTAATGTGGACAGCGGTTTGGATTTTCTGGCTAAAACTACCAGGCCAAATACAGCCTTCTGATGGCTTTTACAACTGAACTAAGCATGTATAATTTAAAGGAGAGAGATAAGTTGGATGGTTCACACACTAACTGGCACTCTGCATTAATGTGCAATGTTTCTGGTAACTCACAATTCTGTTCCCAGAGTCAGTTCTCATCTGCTTGGAATTTTACTACACCAAAGTACAGAAGCAATTAGACTCTGCCTACTCACCTATTTTTCCTGTATCATTTATAAAATATACCATTCGTAATATTAATCTATATGGACATTTCACATTTATACTTTTATATCGTGCTGGGGCAGAGTTCATGCATAAAGATTATCACTTAATTTTTGTCTATAGGTTCAAAGCCAAATCTTTCCAGACTAAGTGTCTTTACCTTTCTCTTAAGACAGCAGTTTTCAACCTGTGGATCTTGACCCCTTTGACAAACCTGTATCTCCAAAAATATTTACATTATAATTTACAACAGAAGCAAAATTACAGTTATGAAGTAGCAATGAAAATAATTTTATGGTTGGGGGTCACCACAACACGAACTGCATTAAAGGGCCGCAGCATTAGGAAGGTTGAGAGCCACTGTCTTAAGAGAATAGAGGAAGAAAATAAAATAAAACCTGACTTATTTACAGTACTCAATTGTGAATAGGCCACATTCCCTCTGAAGGAATGTCTGGAGCTTTAACAAGCAAGTGAGCAGGTATATACAAGTCTACCAAGGTTTGAGAGCCATGAGCACATTGCTATGAATGACTGCTGGGTTAAGGGATGGCGAATTTCTTTCAGGACAATAGGCTTCCATGTCTCAATTCTGAGTGCTGGGTGGCTTTCTGCAGGGCTTTGGTTACATGTGGTAACTATGTGTGTCAGGGTCATGCAGCAGAGAAAGCTGTCATGTCTAAAAAAGCAAATGCCTTTATAAAACACCAGGAATCCAATAATGTGGCTCTTAAGCCTAACCCTGCCACTGATGACTGGCAAGAAATGAAATTATGTATTTAAAGTGTATATATCAATCACAACACATGATCCTTCTAGTGACATTTACCAGTGAGAAAATGGACTCAGAGAAAAATGAAACAAGTTGCTTTAAAATCGGTAGCCTCTAACAGAAACCCACATGTTATCTGACCCTAAGGCCCATGCCCTTCCACTTCAGCAGATCCTCTCTGTAACCCCATTTCTCACTTTAACCTTCTATGTGAAACAGGCATGTTTACTCTGGAGATCAATGCAGCGTGCTGTATGTGCAGCACCTCCCCGCAACTCATCTGTTTTTATATAGCTTTAGTTAATGTCAAGCCACAATCTGACAGGACACGTTTTTGGGATATAGTATATGTATACAAAGTGTGGGGTTATTGCCTCATCAGTCCCTTTTTGGAACTCCATAAATCCATTGATGTAGCTCAATTATTAATTTTCCCTGTAACATCATGCTGTTAATTCAAACTCAGCTTATAGTAACTAAAATTGACATTTTTTTCCAATATAGGTATATATTAGCCATGATTTGCTAGTTTAACTTTGTGTGCTTTTTAAACCCATTTTATTTCTTCCTAAACAGTTAAAGTCAAGGGCTCTGGAGGAATTAGGACATTAGTCCCACCTCCAGGATTTCCATTGCACTTGTAGGATGAAGGCAAAGGAACAGGACAGAGCTGAACGTAGGTGAACGAGAAGAGCATTTTGGAGGTGAATCCTGAAAGGCACATTCATAATCTCAATTTCCATTTGCTCTAGACTGATACGACTAATATAGCTAAGGGGACAGTTCCACCTCCATCAAACTGTTACAAGGTATTTTATCTTCTCACAAATTACCATGGTGCCTCCCACAAACAAGTCAGGGCAAGGAAACCAGAGACTGATGCTCCATCTACCTCAGTACACATTACTTACTACTCCCAAGATACCCAATAGAAGTAAAAACCCAAGTTTTTCATGAAACCCTATCACAGTGTCTCAAAATTGACCAGCTTAGAAAATACCTATTCTGTCTACTTTAATTCAAACTTGAAATATTTTTTCTTCTTTATATAGGCCTATTTTATATTAAATTTTTAAATTATTTTTTGAGGGAGAGGGTCCTACTATGTAGTCCAGGCAGGTCTTGAACTCAGCTCTACAGAGCCTGTCAATTTTTAGGCAAACTGATCTGTCAGGGCCTGAATGAGCTTTTTACCACAAGGTAAGTGGTGCTCACTGAAATTAAGGAGCCGGGCTGGTGAGACAGCTTATCAGGTAGACGGGCTTGACTGAAAGCCTGAGGACCAGTGTTCAAGTGGCAGATCCACCAGGTGGCAGACGGGAAAGAAGTGACTCCAAACGGTGCCCTCTGCCCTCCACAGGCCCACCACTGCATGAATGTGCCCGCACACACAATAGATACATCAACAAGTAAAAGCTGCTTTGTCAAGTTCTCATTTCGGTCATGGCCTAGGGCTGAGCCAGGCTGAAGCAGAAAGAGAAGGAAGTACCTAAAAGAAGAGCCAGCATGAGAAAAAGAGACGGAATAAAGCTAACAGACTGTACTGAGAACGCACAGCTAAATTCAGTTTCCCAAGTGGCACCTCCATCAAGGAACACTGATTTCATAGTGAAGGCTTTTTTCCTCTTTCTTTTTTTTTTGTTTTTGTCTTTTTGAGATAGGGTTTTTCTGTGTAACAGTTCTGGCTGTCCTGGAACTTGCTTTGTAGACTAGGCTGGCCTTGAACTCAACAGAGATCTGCCTAGTAAAGCCTTTTAGTATGCAATGTTATTAGAGCAATTTAATTTGACTCTTACCTTATAGGAAATAACTGAGGAAAACAGCCTTGTGTTTGTGTGTTGACGTACTTCTGGATCTGAAGCACTTGTTTTAAAAGATAGCCCTTGGAAGATCTGTCAATTTTTGTTAATATCATCTATAGGAAAATAGTTTAAGTATTAGAAATAAAATTGATCAATATAGTTTTACACATTTTAACTGTAATTTTTCAGTTCAGTTGAGTTGGTTCATGTAAATTTCTTAATCTCTATCTACATTCTCATCTATAGAATAAAAACAAGCCATAAGTAATTTGCTGTGATGATGAGATGAGCTAAAATATGTCACATATGAAGTGTGCACTGTGTGTCCGCTACTTAACAGTGCTTTTAGTACATGACCATAATGCCTTGGACTTTATTTAAAGATCAGTGAGAACCACTGAGCCACATTTGTAATTGACGTCAGCTATTTTATGCGATTAAAATGTATTTTATAGTCTAAGATATTTAAGTGAATATAACTTGGTTGAACCACATAAAGCTGCCAATATGTAACAATTTTGGAACCAAAAGTTCAATTTTACATGTAGTATTCTAAAGGAAAAATTAGAAATTGGGTTATTGGTTGGCTATATCTACTATAGTTGTATTCTTGGTAAATCTAGAATGTTACTTATCCAACTACAAAGTAGTGGAGGAAGGTCAAATTATGGGTGATTACAAATCAAGGAAAAAGTGAAATTTCAATCTATCAGGTTTTCTCAGGGAACATTAAACACTCAAACACACATACACTCTTACTTGAAGCTGCTGGTGGTGGGGCTCATCCGTGCCAGGCAAGTGGTATTTCACTGAACTATAACTCCCCTAGGCTAAAATTTAAAGTCATCTTTTTGTTTGCCTTTTTTCCCCCTTCTTGGGTACTTGGATTATTGCTGATATCCTAATTCCTTTTCCAAAGAAGAAAGTACTCCCTTCAGCTAGAACTGACGGAAATATATGATTCACAAAGTGGTACCTGGGATACTTAATCAGGACTACGAGGACTTCACAGCCAGTTTGATAATACTGAGTCATTTTTATACTAATTCCTTGATGATAACAGTGTCCCTAATACTTCCTAGGACTTCTGCAAATCCCAAGAACTTCACAATTCCAAGAATACAACAAAAGTGGCTGCCGAGTTGCATGGCTTTATTCACATGCAACTTCACTGCTTCAGTTTAGTGGTTTCTGACATTCTTTGAAAAGTAAATTACAGTCATTGAGTTCTTCACTTCCCTTAAAAAGAAACTTTAAAAGTCTATCTGGAAATATTACAAAGTAAAATTAATGTGGACACTGACCTACTGACCTGCATTTTGGTGTAGGTCAATTTTATGCTAGTAGAGAAAAAATAAATCTAATGAGATATTCCTAAAATAAATTTTTAGTTATCTTTTTTATTTCATGTGCCTGCATGTATGTCTGTGTGAGGGTGTCAGATCCTCTGGAACTGGAGTTACAGATAGTTGTGAGCTGTCAAGTGGGTGCTGGGAAATGAACCCGAAGTCCCCTGGAAGAACAGCAGGTCTCCCAACAGCTGAGCCATCTCTCCAGCTCAGAAAATAATTTTTTAAAGAATATAAAAATCTACTTGTGTGTAGAATTTTTATATTCTTAAAAAAAATGTTGGAATCATCTCAGTTTCTGGTGCAGTTTTAGTTACATCTTCGTAAGTACTAGACCATGAGCTGCTGTTCAAGAGCTAGTAACGTGTTTGGGACAAATGTTTGTATTCCCATAAAAAAACACCTTGGGAAGGGAAGCATTTCAGAACACTAGATGGACAGTTTAAGAAACTGACTGTAAAGGTAAAGCTTGTATAGCTCCAATATGTTAAGAGCACACACTGTTCTTTAAGAGGGCCTGAGTTCAGTTTCCAGCACTCCCAGTGGGTGGCTCACAACCTCCTCTAACTCCAGCTTCAGACAAATCTGCTGCCCTCTTCTGGCCTTCACAGGCATCTGCATACAGGTGACACAGGCATGTGTATGTGTACACACATGTGTTCTCTCTCTCTCTCTCACACACACACACACACACACACACACACACACACACACCCCTTCCTCCCTCTCCATAAATTTAAAAAATTAAGGCTTAAAGAAGGAAAAAAAAATAAGAAAGTGTCACAGAACTTAAAGGAACTTTTGATTTTTTTTTTTTTTTGGTGTATATGTGATGTATACATGTGTTATGTGTATGTGTGTGTGTACACATGTGCACATGGGTCTGCCTGCAGAGGCCAGAGGAGGACATGTGTCTATTCCATCACTCTTGCCTTTTTCCTTTGAGCCAAGGTCTCTCCCTGAATCTGGACCTGGGCTGGTAGCCAGCAATCATGCGATCCTCTGGTCTTCAACCTCTACAGCACTAGGGTTATGGGCATGCATGTGACCACACAGCTTCCCATGTGGGTGCTAAAGACTAGAACTTAGGTCCCCAAGCTTGTGTAGCAAGCATTCTTCCCCACGGACCCTCTCCCCAGGGACTCCTCTATCTTCTGAGGAAACACTTGCTCACTACTAACAAGTACATGTGCATATGTATCCCAATTGTGATTTCTAATTGCCACCGTAAGGCTAAGGAAACACTTACCACGTAAGGCAATGCAAATTCTTCACACATTTCTACGGCAATATTGTCTAACTTTGTAATTCCAACAACACTATCCACTAACAAAAATGTTCTCTTCAAGCTGTAAGAATAGAAAGAAAATAATGGCAATATAAGATAAACTCATTCATCTGTCTCTCTCCTAGGAACTTCATCCTGTGGTCCAATAGGACTCAATGCAGTTTATTGTACTTTCAATAACTAAATTTACTAAATACCAATTTATTTCAATAAGAACATATTAACCTGACTGAGTCATGACAGAAAGATAAACGAGACCCCTCCTGTAAGACCTTAAAGTCTAGTGGAAAAACAGACAAAAATCAAATTTATTATAATTTTATTACTTTAATTTTGCACCTTTTATATGTAAAGCTACAAATGTATACAATGTATATGTATACACACACATTTAATTTGTGATGCTGAGATCAAATCTGAAGCCTTTAGCAAGTTAGGCAAGTACTCTATTACTGAGATACATCCCTAGTCTATTTTTTTTAATGAATATTTTTTCCTTTTCTTTCTTTTTGATTTCTTTCAAGGCAGGCTTTTACTGTGTGGCCCTGGCTATCCTGGAAGTCTCTTTGTAGACCAGGCTAGCCTCAAACTCAGAGATCTGCCTGCCTCTGCCTCTGCTACGATTAAAGAAATGCACCACCACCGCCTGCTATAAATATTTTTTATATACTTCAGAAGCCTAACATTATTTTCCTCTAGATTGTGTGATTCTTCAAACACACTATTGCTTGATTACTTATGGAGATCAAAAAAATAAAGACAACATTTTTAGAGTTTGTGATGAGTGAGCTACTTGAAGACAGAGTTTACTGGATTTTATTTAAATCAATTAGCTAACAATTTTATTTTTCAAAATTAGCCAGCTGAGAGTTTGGTTCCGTAAAAAAAATGAATGAACTAACTGTTGAATACTCTTTATAGTTTCACCTTGAGAAAATAAATGAAGTTAAGATTTTCTTGAACTATAGGCAGAAGCTAAACAGGCGGTGTATACCCTGGGCCTCAATATTGTACTGCAGAATAATATGAGGATAAAATGCACCTACAAATAAGTCATTTGATAAATCTGAAGTATCTGCCATGTGTAGAATACCCTTGATTTTAAAAAGGCTTTGGGACTAAATGTGTAACTACTGTAAGAAAGAAATTTCCTTACTTCGTCCGTTCTTTTAGATAGGTCTCTACCATGTCAACAAAGTCTTCCGGGGCTCTATAGCCATAACCTGGCATGTCCACCAATGTAAAATATTTTCCAACTTTGAAAAAATTCATTTTCTTTGTGTGGCCCTGATAAAGTAAATGGAAAAAAAAGCTGGCTTAAAATATGTCCTTTATTTCATGACTAGAAATGTTTCTATTCAATCAGCAAATATTTATTAAAAGTTGAAGTATAATTATGAATGCAAAGGGAAAAAAGTGAAGATTAGTGGCCACCAATAATTAAAATCTCTTCAATTTTTTTTTTTTTTTTTTTTCCGAGACAGGGTTTCTCTGTGTAGCTTTGCGCCTCTCCTGGAACTCACTTGGTAGCCCAGGCTGGCCTTGAACTCACAGAGATCCGCCTGGCTCTGCCTCCCGAGTGCTGGGATTAAAGGCGTGTGCCACCACCGCCCGGCTAGTTTTTTTTTTTTTTTTTAATAAAATATGTTTAGCTTAAAAGCTTTACATTTCATATTAAAAAGACATAGACAAACTATTTCAGAATCTTTCCTATCTTGCCGACTGAACGTCACCCAGACTGAAGTTGTATGTCTGCCATTAGCCAGTTCTCTGATGAACAAATACACAGAGTAATGAGCTGGGTACTGATCAAATGTTTATCTTATCACACAGGTTCTTAAAACACCATATCCAAGGTTGGATAGTTCTTATCTGAAAACTAGTGTTTCACTAAACCAAGATGCTTTGCATGTGGGTTTTAGTGTCCTCATAGACCTTTCTTTAAAAGAATGTGCAACACCACAATTATTAAATAAAGTGCAATTAAAATTGGTGCAAAGATAAAATACGGCTACTATGCTTTTGTGTTCATGAAACACTTAGGAATCAGGAAAGGAAAGACAAACAATGTAAAGCCAACTGTTTGGATCTTAGAAAAGACCCTATCAATGGAGAGGGTTTTATAAATGATGATTAAGTTCCTGGTTACTTATTTGTCCATCTGTTAGAAAGTGTGTTTAGAACTCTATATTCTAGAACGAAAAGAACCAACCTCATCCACTGTCCTCTTATACAAGACTGGAATCCATCCTATCTAGAAGTCCTGGTTTAGCTGGCTTATTTGGTGAGGAAGAAGAGGAGTGAAGATGAAGTGTAAGGAATGGAATCATTAGTGATGAAGCCAGAGAATCTACTACATAGAGTGGGGAGCAAACACCTCGTGGTTTCATGCAAGGGCTTCAACTTAATGAAAGGGGTAGGGAACATGGAGCATTGCAACAGATGCTAAGGTAAGGGGAGCCAGGGGTGAGTTTTGCGAAAAGGCTACTTTAGATTCCAGCTGAGTCTGCAGAATTGCAAAGGAAGTAGATGGGGGAAATGACAGAAGCCTGTAGAGCAGAGTGTCCATGAAAACAAGAATAGAGTGGCCTTGGGTAAAAGAATAAGCAAGACTGGTATATATGCAAGAATGTATGAGAGTGTGTGAGTAGAGAAAGTGTAAGATTATAGAGAATAACGCAACTTTAAACCCATTTTTCCTACAACCAATGTAGAACTAGATGCTCATTAACATATACAAAAACAGAAAACAGCAATAAAATACCTAATTTGGCAATTAGAGAAGATTTAGATAAAGGATGCTTTCCTCAAGATATTGGCAAGACCTCTCTACAGTCAATTCAGATATATATATATATATATATATATATATACACACACATATATATATATATATATATATATTTCAGGAAATACATGGGCACTAATGATATGTCTTACCTTATTACTTGTTTAAAAGAAATATCTCTTCTCTAGGAACTTAGCAATTATGATCTCTTGCACCTTCCAATACTTAGGTCTCATTTTAGTAAATTCAAGAGATACCCAGCATACCGGTTTTTTTGAGACTCTGACTTCTACATCAGGGGCCAGCGAAAACAAGGCCTTTATCAAGGAGGATTTTCCAACATTGCTCCGACCTATGAAACACACCTAGTATGAGGGGCAAAAAGGAGAATGGAGAACTTAGAGAACTGAAGAGTGGTTTATTTACTAAATGTTCTATTTGCGGGGTTGGAGAGATGGTTCAGGAGTTAAGTGCACTTGCTGCCAGAGGACTCTGGTTCAATTTCCAGCCCAAAGGGCTGCTTTCAAATGCCAGAAACTCCAGTTCCAGGGGGAAATCTGATGCCCTCTTCTGGCTTCTGAAGGCGACAGCAAGCATGTGGTGCACAGACATGCATGCAGGCAAAACACACATCAGAAATACAAAAGGCACTGGCTGCTGTTCAGAAGACGGAGGTTCGATTCCCAGCACCCACGCTGCGGCTCACTGCGGTCCTCCATGGGCACTGCACACAGGGCTGGTGCAGCCACACCGAGCTTTCTGTTGATTTGATTTTTTTTTTAAAAATCCCTCACGTTGGGTGACAAGCTATGAGCAGGGGCGAACTCAAGCTCTCTCACCTCCGGCTGCTGCAGGCTCGGGGCGTGGTCTAGGCGGACGGCGGAGCTGAGGTACTCGATGCGGTTCCGGGCTGTGGCCGCGAAGACGCTCTCCGCCCTCGCGATGTCCTCCAGGCTGGGGTCGAAGAGCCTCTGTTCGATCAGGCCTGGCCCGGTGTCCGAGACGAGGTGCTGCTCCAGTTCCCGCAGCGGGTACAGAACTTTCGTTAGCTGTTTCTGCGGCAGCCTTAGCACTTCGGCGAAGGCCGGGGACGTGCTGTAAAGCCGGGGCCAAGGCCCCAGTGCCGGCGCCATCTCAAAGAGCCTTCCCACCCTAGGCCACAGCCCAGCAGCCGCCATTTTCCTCTCCCAGAATCCTCGCGACGATTTCATTCATAGGGTCTGGAACGCGCAAGGGAGACTCTCACTGCCGCGGCGCCTGCTGGGAATTGTAGTTTTTCTAGGGCCTTCTCGCCTGCTCGAGGTTTTCACCGCCAAAGACTGCGAGGATGTTGGGGACCGGCAGTGGAAAACCTGCTGACTTTCTTTAACACCTTGGCCTTACCAACTGTGCATCAGATTGGTGTGTTCTGTGGGAAAGTCTTCAGCGGTTTCCAGAGGCGAAAAACCTACCTCGTCCTGTGGTTTTTGAGTCTCAAGGGAAGGAGCCATAGAGCGTAGCTTTAGAGGATTCCAAGCCCGATTTGTCATCTATTTCCGATCGTCTTACCGATAATTGACATTTAATCATAAGTTCACATCACTGAGAAAAACACATTTGCAAAGTTAAATGATCTGGTGAGAAATGTGGTTGGAATAGCACCTCGTTTTCACGGAAGGGACTGTAACTCTCCGGCAGACATGCCATTGAAGCTGCAGCTGAGAGCTCACATCCAGATCCATAAACCAGAAAGCAGAGGGAACTGGGAAACAGACCTGGGAATAACAGGAGGCCATGGAAGCCTCAAAATGCAACCCCACCTCCAACAAGGCCACACCTTCTAATCCTTTCCAAACATTTCCACAAACTGGGGACCAAGTATTCAAACATACGAATGAGCCCTTTCTCATTCAAACCACCACAAACATTTAATCATTATTTCCCCCTTTATCACTCCATTACTTTTAATAAATTTTAGAGAGATGAGTTAGAGTCCGCATATGCTATGCTTTCTCTGGACATAGGTGATCAAACTCTTCCCAGTGTAGACAGAAGATCTATGTGAGACATGCACATAGCAGTTAGATCTACTAGTGAGAGGGTGGAAAACCAGAATTGGATTTAAGGGAACTAACACGGTTAAAGTTGCCATGGGAATCATAAAGAATACAGAGAATTGTGTAAGTTCAGGAAAATCAAACCAAAATCAGTATAGGAGAAGATCCCATCTGGTAAATGGGATTGTGCAATCGCTTGCAGTAATAATCTGAACCTGGTTGTTGACAGTATCTTGGTTTCTGGTGTTTTGTCTATATGAAGCAGGTATTAGTCTATGGCCGTATATTAGGATTCGGGATCTAGCTTTCTACACCAGAGGTTTGTCTGGGCTAGGATTGAGAATAGAATTTAGCCCTAGTGAGGTAAAGCCATATAGATCAGAAAAACACATGGTCTGTGCACAACATACACTGTCCAAAATGGAGTTCCTAATATTCTCTCTTCCCCTGTTCTGTGGGTTTTGCATTCATTCCTATCACAGTACCCCTTCAACCAGACTTCTTGAGGGAAAGTCTTGATTTATTTCCTTATATCCTACACTTAATCCATCAGCAATCTTGCTGATTTAATCTTTGACACATCCTGAATGTGAGTCTTTAGCATATCCACTGTTAGTATCGTGTTTCCAGTCCCCATTACTTCTTACCTAGATAATTGGCTATAGCTTCCAAAAAACTGGCTGTCTACCACTGCTTTTTACTCTTTTAGGTGCATTCCCAACATAACAGCAAAGATGATTCTGTTAAAATGAAAGTGAAAATCTCCAGCATCTTCCTGTTTCAAAGACAAGCCAGTTTTCCCTGTAACTTAAGAAGCATAGGTAGCCCTGCCTCTCTGTATATGCCTGCCTGGAATGTTTCCTTCCAGATGTTATGACATGGTTTGCTTCTTTACCATTTGGAGTGTTTGTGGTGCTCCTTCTGAAGAAGTGACTTTGATTTTGAGAACTGAAGAAGTAGTTCACCACAGAGTTAACACTTAAAAAAATTAATATGATATAGACAGGTATTGTATACTTTACACACAGTCCTTAGAGTGGTTTTATTTTTTGGGGGGCGGGGGATCGTTTTTGAGACAGAGTCTGTTCCATAAGTCAGACTGGCCTCAAATTCGTGATCCTTCTGTCTCAGCCTTCTGACTGATGTACCACCCCACCCAGATTGAGAGCTAAGATTTTTCACTAAAATTCATGTGACTGAAATGCTGTAGCTATATTCTGCCAGGCTTAGATTTTAAGGACAGGAAGAAGGTTGGTAGATCAGTGACGAGATCTTGCCACTCTTACAGATCATCACACTTGTTTTTCCACTGTTGTCTGTCTCTGAAATGAACAGCTTTTTGGTTCCAACTGATCACGAGCTATGTCGATCCAGTAGGTATCAAGTCTAGGGATTCTATCTAATTCAAGAAGAAGGTAAGCAGTGTAGGCCTAGACCAGTAGACAGAATCATGGACGTCAGAGTCAGCAAATACAGAGCTCACACAGGTCAACTCTTATCCTAGTTTAGACACACCACACTTTGAATGTCTGGATAGACATAAGAGTAGAGATGCTGAGAAAGCTTGCTTTTGGATATAGGGAGAGGTAATGGATTAGCAGTCAATGTTTGTTTTAACAAAGGTTCTTTCTTACCTTCACATTCCCCTTCTTAACAACAGTAATTACAATTTACCTGTTAAAATACCATGCCTAGTGGTGGTACCTGTGATGCTAGCACTTGGGAGGTAGAGGAAGGAGGACCAGAAGTTAAAGGCCATTTTCATCTACATGCCAAATTTGAGGCCAGCCTGGACTACATAGAGCCTGTCTCAAAAATGTTGTTGAATGCTTTCCATAAGAGGAGTTGATTTGAGTATCAGGGATCAATTATGGAAAAGGCCTGGTCATATTCAAATTCAGGGCTTGCAATGGGAAGGAAATAGTGAGGGAAAAGGAGATGTATTATATAGAGAGTGACACGGAGAAACTCCAACACATAAATTGTCTGAATTATAATAACTCCTGTTGGGATGAATTATTTAAGATTAAAATTCATTTTAAAAGTATTTATTTTCGTGTGTGTGTGTGTGTGTGTGTGTGTGTGTGTGTGTGTGTGTGTGTGTATGTGTACATACCAGCAGAGGTCAGAAGAGAGTGTTGGGTCCTCTGGAACTGAAGTTATAGGAGGTCGTGAATGTCTCAACATGGGTGCTGGCAGCCAAATCCAGACCCTTTGAATGAGCAGCAAGTTCTCTTAAACACTGAGATATCTCTCTAGGGAAACTTTAAAATTTCTTTAATTATATTTTAACTTTTCTGTGAAACTTTCTCTTTAAACAATTATATTAGCTATAACTCAGCACATTGACACAGGTTTGTGATCCCCACACATGCAACATGATGCGTGACTTTTCTACCTAATTTATTTTGGGGGGTGCAGGTTATTACATGTGAGAGTCACTATATTATCATCTTGAGAAATAATAAATGTATTTCTTATGAACATCTTGGTAGTTTATCAAATCATTAAATTTCATTTATATCTCATTAATGTTCCTTTAAAGAATGTCTCCAACAACTTCAATAATTGTGTTGTTGTTTTTCTTTTTTTCTCTATGAAGTCTTCTTGGACTTCTTTTACGATTGTATCTGCCATGCTGACAAATTTCTCTAAAGAGATCTGGAGATTAAATATCAAATGGTAGTTATGTAGGAGGTGAGTTCTTAGAATAATTTGAGTTCTGAGAGGAAAATAAAAAATTGTTTCCATCAAGTTTTTTTTTTTCAATCAATAGAAAGCAAGTTGCTTTAAACAATATTTTCCATTGTTAATTTGGTATTTCATCCTAATCATACTGATGTTACTGTTTTGCAACTCTTTGCCATATATAGTTTGTGCTTTTGTATCAGTTAAAAGCTCGTGTGTGTGTGTGTGTGTGTGTGTGTGTGTGTGTGTGTGTGTGTGCGTGTGCATACTAGTGGTTGAAAAAAGCATGGGTTTTTCTGTTCCAAGTGATGAATTCATTAATATCTTAATCTTTACAACATATTAGGTAAAAATTTTTTTTGGTGGGCAATGCATGATTGTAGTATTGCTATCAATACTATATGCAATTGCTATATTCAAACCTGTAGAGGTTTGAAGGAGAAAGGCCCCCACAGGCTCAGATATTTGAATACTTGGTCCCCAGTTGGTGGAAATATTTGGGAACAATTAGGAGGTATGACCTGTTGGAGGAGGTATGGCACTTGGGTCAGGCTTTGAGGTTTCAAAAGCCCAGTTAGTTGTCTCTGCCTCATGCTTGTAGGTCAAGACATAAGTTCTCATCCACTGCCATGCCTGTCTGCCTGCTGTGATGCTCTCTGCCATAATGGTCATAGATTCCAACTTCTGAAACTGTAAGCTCCCAAAAAATTCTTCCTTCTATAAGTTGCTTTGGCCGTGGTGTCTTAGCACAGCAACAGAAAAGTAACTAAGACAATCTCTGAACCACATCTCTTTGCTTTAGTGATAGGAACAGCATACTCTTTGGCACCTTGAAGAAACAGAGCAACATCCCACAGGTAGATACACTCATATATGTTCCAGTTTTAAATTCATTCACAGATAGGTTTTTGTCAGGTATCTCCCAAGTCTAGCTTTCAAATTTGCTGATAGAAGAGGAAGATTCATGAAATTCAGTATATGGTTGTCTCTGTGGCTAGAATTTGTCACAGCAAAAGGATTCAAATTAGAGGAACAGACTCAAGTTGAAGACTTGAAAAAAAAAAACAGGTTCAAGTGTGTCAGAATTCTCTCTCATAGCACAGGCTGCTTTTACATCTGCCAGCAATGAGTTGTAATGTGGGAATGCTGTTCACATGGAGAGCTCTCTGGAACCCACGAGTCTAAGGTTTATATCAAAGGCTGACCATGTAACTATTTTGTGGTTGTGTAACTGATTATACTTTCTGAAATTTCAGATCCTCAGAAGGTAATCATGCATTCACTATTGTTATAGTTTTCATTTTGTTTTTGAGACAGGGTATTACTATGTGGTCCCAGCTGTCCTGGAACTCACTATGTAAAGCATGCTGGCCTCAAACTCACGGAAATCTGTTTGTCTCTGCCTCCCAAATGCTAGGACTTAAGGCATGCACCACCACATCTGGCTTACTGTTGCTATAGTCTTTATCTTAATGG